CCTTTGGTGACAAGATGAACGAACTGAAGTCAGTTACTGTAAAAGGCCTGAACCAGCAGCACCACAAATCACAGCCAAAAGTAGCAGGTCCCACACGGTGTCCCACAATCATGGCCCAAGCGGCCGCAGATCCTCCTTCAACCCCGGCTGCATTGCAGTCCCACTGAGCACCAAGAAGAAAAGGGCCTTTGTGAGAGCAAGCAAACTTAACCCTCTGCCAGGACACAAATTCAGAGGGCAAAAAATTGAAAAACCCCACAGCATCAGCCACACTTCCCAATGAGAAGGGTTGGAACTCTCTGCCCCTCCACACTTCCCCAGCAGGTTTACAAAGGGAACTGGGATCTAAGCAGTGCCCTCTGAACCAAGAGAGCCAGCCTCCCTTCAGGGTGAGAAGCCACGGCCTCAGTTCTAGCCCCGGGTGCCTCCTGTGCCTCAGAGAATGGCTGTGGCTGTAAATGTGTGTTTGGCTGCAGCACAGGGCCAGGGTGAAGCTCGGCAGCCTCATCAGAGCCCACGGCCACGGCCCTTCCCTGCCGGAGCCCTCACCTGGCCCGGCCCGGCCCGGCCCGAGCAGCCCGGACTGGCCTCAAGGGATGGGCTCTGCCTGCCCGCTGTGCCTACAGGCTGGGCCCAAGGGCTCGCAAGAGGCTTCCTCCCAGCTCTGCAAAACCTCAGCCAAGAGTGTCCCCTTTGCTGTGCTGAGAAGAGGAAAAAACCCTCTCAATTTAACCCCGCTGCACACCTCATGGGGGATCCCTGCACACCTTAGCAGAGAGCCCAAATTAGCCCTGGGTGCCTCATGAGGTGCAGGCCCAGGTGATGCCACTGAAGGAAATGTGCCCTCACAGCCCAGGGACGCTCAGCATGGGCTCCCCCAGCCCCTCGTGGCCCCACCACTGGTCATGGCAGCCCCTGCCTGGCTCCTGCCTGCCCACACTGTGGACACCCCCGGCTGCTCCTGGACATGGAGCTCAGCAGGGGCTGGTGCCATGAGGGCTTTGCTGGTGGTACCAGCCAGACACTGAGGTAAAATCTCCATCTCTTTATTGGAACAAAAACCATAGGCCAAGCCCTGCTCTGCTGGACAGGGGCTGCCCAATTTCAGTCCTGGCCAGGGACCAGGGCCAGGGGGCTCAGGGGCAGAGGCTCTCACTTTGCAGGTGTGAGTCTTGGGACGCACTCAAGACGGGGATGGAGCCGTAGCAGAGCAGAGGGAGACAGAGGTGAAGAGCGGGGATGACAGATCAGCTTCTCGGTGATTAAAGTCTTTGGCTGCTCTTCTGAAGGTGCAGAGGTGCTCCTGTGGAGAGAGGAGGTGGCTGAGGCCCCCAGCTGCCGCTGGCACGCAGGGACCCTCCTGCACAGCAGGGCCCAGAGCGGCCAAGGCTCCCCAGCACGGCTGGAGCTGCTGGCACAGCTTGGCCCAGCTGGACAGCTGCCCCTCAAGGCCCCGGAGAGCAGGGGATGGCTCTGGGCAGGGTCCCTGGCCAGGAGCGGGCCCCAGAGCACCTCTGCCTTTCAAGGGCAATCTCATACCTGCTCTTTCTCCTGCCCACCTTGCTTTGCCTCTGCCCGCTGCTCCTGGGGCTGCTCTTGGCCAGGCAGCCTCAGTGGGAGCCAGCACTGGCTGCAGCCCCAGCGGGCTCCCCAGGACAAGTCCCAGCAATTAAGAGGCCAATTAAAGGCCTGGGCAGCAGCAGAACTCTCGGCAGAGTTATTTGGACAACCAATGACTATCTACAGGTCCACAGCAGACTCACTGGGAATGTTTCCCGACTATGAGCAGCCTTTCAAGAAGCTGTTTGAGGCCGAGATCAGCAAAACACTCACCCTTTTCTCTTCCAGCAATACTTGATTCCAGCATAGCACATCAGCAGGAAAAGTGCTCCACCAGCCACAGTGGCCATTAACTTAATCAAACCATGTGTTCCCTGGTAGAAAACTCTTCTCATGCTCTCCCAGATCTTCTGAGCATGTCTTGTGGTGCCGGCTGCATCTGTGGGAGCAATGGGCAGCGTGAGCCTGTGCTGTGCTCCACTGCTGAGCTGGCAGCACGCTGGATACAGCCAGGACGTTCTCTGTTTCCCCCAGAGCTGGGGCCTGCAGGCACCTTGGCACCCCTTGGCAGAGGCTGTGCCCCCCAACAGAGCCCAGAAAGCTGAGAGCAGAGCCCGGGGGCAGCACAGCTGCTTGGCAGTGGCTCCTTCCAGGGACACGGGCCAAACCCATCCCTGAGCAGCCACTGCCACTCCTGACCCTCCCTTCCCTGTGACAGCTCCCCCAGCCCAAGGAGAAAAAAAAACTGTCCAAAAATTCCTTTGTTTATTCCCATTACCTGGAAGGTCCTGTATGTAGTAATGGTCTTGAGGATCTGATTCTTTTCAATGGTGTTTTGTTGGTTTTTTTTGTTATTGAGACAGATGAGGCAGACTTGTTGTTTTTAGATTTGGTAGGTATGGTTTTTTTCTTAGTATGATTGTTTTCTTATAAATCCACATGTTAAGTTATTTTTATTTAGATATTTTTGATTCCTAAGCAATTATCTTGAAAATCTGTTGTTCACTTCTTAGTTAATGTTCTATCTATAAACAATTTTGACTCTGTTTTTATAGGAATAAAAAGATCTCAGAAAGCTGTATTTTTAATTTTGTTCACATTCTCTCCCCACTCCCAACATTTACTGTGATACTTTTGGAAACATCCCTGAGGATAGCTAGAGTTATTTGGGAAGTGCTTGGCTTAACCTGGGAAATGGATTATTATTTTTGCTGCTCTAAACCTACATTGTTCCAAGCTTCACAGCCACTGTCCTGATGGATACCTGTGTGAATTAAAACAATGTTTGTGAGGCAGCTGAAGAGCTCAGACTTCAGGGATTAAAATACCTTGGAGAAGGAGGAGGAGGAAAGGGTAAAACAGCCTGTTTCCATGGCTGTTTTTTCATTTCTAGTATGCCAGAAGTATGGTAGGCTACAGCTGTCTTCAAATGTCATTGAATTAGAGAAAAACTCTCTCCAGGGAAAATGATGCAACACTTTGCCTCACAATCCATCAGCCTTAATTACAGTGAGAGGTAGGTCTTAATTATAATGTGATTAGAGCAAATCAACATTGTGTGAGTGGCAAGAATTTGCTTGTCAACAGACGAATATGTCCCACTGAAGAATGAACAAAATCTGCCTTTACTTGGAAGAAAGGAGACATGGAGCAATGCAGTATTTGGGTTTTATCAGTGGTAAATGGGGCAAGAAGCTGTAACAGCTCACCTGTTTTACAGAACACAAGCACTGATACAGCCAATAGTGCACCCACACTGAAGGGATCTTCAGAACATTGCTTTATTTCTTAACAAGAAATGGGCAGCAAAATGCTGGCATTTATCTGAGCTGGAAGCCCTGTTCCTCTCCTGTTTCTCCTTGAGCACACTGTTCTTTGCAGACTTCACTGTGCAGCCCATCAATCCTCTCTTGGCCAACAGCTAAATGGCACAACTACCGAAACACAGGTGCCAGCATCATCACCCCAGCATTATTCCAGCACTGCTCTACTGGTGCACAGCAGCACAGAATGGCTTGGCTTGGAAGGGACATTTAAAGGCCATCTAGTGCAGTGCCCTGCAGAGAGCAGGGACACCTTTGGATCAGGTTGCTCAGAGCATGAGCTTGAATGTCAGCAGGGATGGATGCCCACCTCTCTGGGCAACCTGTACCAGGGTTTCAAAACCCACAGTGTAAAAAACATCTTCATTAGGTCTAGTCTGAATTTACTGTCTTTTAGATTGAAAACATTCCCCCTCAGTCTTGTCACAACAGGCCCTACTAAAAATTCTGTCCTGTCTTTTCTAAAAGCTCCCTTAAAGTACTGAAAGGTAGCAATCAGGTCTGCGTGGAGCCTTCCCTCTTCCAGGCTGAACACCCCCAGCTATCCCAGCCTGTCTCCAAAGCAGAGGGGCTCCAGCCCTCAGAGCATTCTGTCCCTCCTCTGGACTAGCTCCAACAGGACCATGTCCTTTCTGTGCTGGGCACCCAGAGGTGGATGCAGTACTCCAGGTGGGCTCACACCAGAGCAGAGGGGTGGTGGAATCACCTCCTTCAAGCTGCTGGGCAGCCTCCTTTGGAGGCACATGGCTGGCTCATGTCCAGCCTCTCTCCTTGCAGCAGCCACAAGTCCTTCTCAGCAGGGCTGCTCTCCATCCCTTCATCCCCCAGCCTGTGAGATCAGCTGGGCTGGGACCCTGTCATAGCCCTTGGACAGAGCTGCTGGGCAGGATGAGCTCCCTAGTGAAGAAGGCAGATCCCACTCCCCACAAAATTCCACGCTGGCCATGAGGTCACAGCAGCCTGTGGGGTGACAGCAGGCTGAGGTGAC